TTTTTTCCATCTGCTTTATTAATTCCCAAATAATCCCCAACATGCAAGTAAAAATTTCGGCCACGACCACGAACTCCATGCTTCTGAAGATCATAATAATCAACAAAAGGGAATCGAACTAGAAATATTTTTAAAAAATTAAAAAAATTATTTTTTAAAAATAAACCAAAATTAAGAAAGAAAACATGTTGCATTATTGAAGGGAAGAAATAAAACAAAGCTGGAACTATAAGAGCAACAAAAACAATTGGAATTGATGCCAAATAAAGTGAACGGAAGAGAAAGGTCGACCTAGAAAATTTCAAAAATTTTTTAAAAATTTTTAACGACTTACATAATTATATTAAGGACCAATTAATAGAGATTCTAGAAAAGTATTTTATATTGGAAAAAATTCCAAGAAAAAAAATTTTAAAATAAAAATTCGGATAAATAACGAATATAAAAATACATATTAAAAATTTAATTTAACAATTTTTATCAAAATTCATCAAAAAAATGCAAAAAAATCAACATTTAATAAAATCGGCAATAATGTTTAAAAAAATTCAAAAACAAAACATTTTTTGAAGTTTGTTGAGATAAGCAAGTATTTTCTTTTTATTACTTTTTAAAATAATTCAACAAAAATATTTTTTTTAATTTTAAAGTCAAGCCGCGACAGAAAAAAATCATCAAAATTTCCCTATAACTCTTCCATAAAATCAATTAACACGGACGACGATCTTTGGTCCGTGGACGAGGTGCACATTTAATTATGCAATCAACACGAAGTAACTGATAAAAATAAAAAAAAGTTTTCCAAAAATAAATTTAATTTTTTAATTTTTTACTTGTTCAGCAGCTTCTGTTCCACTTGCAATAACTCCCAATTTTACTGCATGGGATTCAAGTACACCCATTTCCAAAACATCTGCTATTGTTCCATTCTCAACATCTAATTTAATAAAAAATATATAATTCTCTATAAATATTTATATACTGGAAAAATAAATCAATTAAGGATGATTCATGATTAAAATAATTAATAATGGATAAAAATATTGTGTAAAAGAGATCAGAAAGTAGAGTTCTCGAAGGGGAACCTTTGCCGGGAACCTTTTTTAAAAATAAAATTTAGTGTTTTTACTGGAAAAATCCCAAAAATACATGTAAAAAATGCATAAAGGTTTTTAATTTGGAAAACCTCCCCCCTTCCTCCCCCCTCATTTTCCTATCTTACAATAAGTTTGGCGAAGAACTTAATCTTTTAAAAACAAATTTAAATTAAAAAAATAAAAATCCAAACCAATTCCAATATTATGCATTCCTTTAACATGTGCTGCTCTAATATGAGAAATAATTTCAGCACTATCCAAACCAGCATTGTCACAAATTATTGTTGGTAATTTAATTAAAGCACGAGCATATGCTTCCATTGCTAAAGATTCTTTACCGGGAACCTTTTTAATAAAAAATTTTTAACTTTTTTCAATTTACTCTTTTTCACCTTTTGACTTTCTGACATAACTGCTGTAGCCGTCAACATTTCAGAAGCCCCAGCCCCGGGCACAACACGTTTATCACGAACATGAGTTGTTAAAACACAAAGTGCATCGTGTAATGAACGCTCTGCCTCGTCTAAAATTTGTTGTGTAGCCCCACGAAGTACAACAGAACAGGCTTGGCCTTAAAAGAAAATATTAATTTTTTAAAGGATTGGAAAAATAAATTGAACTTTTGATGATTAAAAATTCAAGTTTTATTTTTTTAAGTTTGTTTGTTCAATAAAATTGAAAATATTTCAGAGCAAAGAGATTGAAGGGAGTTATATTAATATTAATCAAAAAAGGAAAATATTTTAATTAAAAAAACTTTAGGAAAAACCATCCACCTCAATATTAAGTAAAAATTAAGAAAAAATTTTTATACCTAAAGGAACTCCAGAAAACCGTAAAAACATATCCTCTCCAATAGTAACTTGTTCAATTAATTTACAACTTCCCAATTTAATATCTGTCGGCGTATCAAAAGTCGAAACAATTTCTCCACCCAAAACCAAAGCTAGCCGTTCAATTCCCTCAAAATCAGCGTGTTCAATAGCCATAACATGTTTATCAGCAAATAATTGTTCAGGATAATTGTAAATTAATTGACGATTAATAAATACATTAATTCCATGAGCACAAATTTTTTCAACCTAAAAAATTATTTTTTTAATTTTTAATTAAAAATTTAAAAAAGAAACAAACTTTTTCTTTCATTTTGTCTTTCTCAACTAATTCCAATTCTGCAATTTTAGCAATCGAATCGACCTTTATACGACTTCCAAAGACTTTTATCTTAAAAAGAGAATTTATATCTATTTTTAATATTCGTGTTCATATTAAGAATAAAAGTCTCTATGCGTTACCCATCTAGCCGTTCAATTCCCTCAAAAGATCGAGTCTTTATCTGTTTACCTTAACTTGGCTTTTAATTAAAATAAAATCATAAGTAGGGCTGCCAAAATGGAGCAACTCTGACCAAAAGATCGAGTCGGGCATAGGATATCTGACCCAAAAAAAACTCGTCGGCCCGACTCGATAAAAATGAGGCCTGAAAAAAAGACTCGACCGTCGGCCCGACTCAAAAACGGCAACCGTAATCATTAGTTAATAGATTCCCAGATTATACACAAATATTTTTAAAATTTTACAAAAACCTTGTCAGTGTCCATAGGAGTATTTGCAATCAAAATTTTCGCGTCAGTAATTTGTTGTGGTTGATACATTCCAGCTCTCTTTTCCAACAAAAAACCCTCATCCAAATAAGAATCTTCCATCGACCCACCCAACTTTTTGATTACTTGAATTGAATCGAGAGAAACTTTTCCACTTAAACGAAGAACTGCCTCAACTGCCAATTTGGCAAAATGGTCAGAATGTTGGGAAAGAATTTTTGAGCCAAGAGAAGTTTTTGCAATTTTCATTAAATCTTCACGTAATTGTTCTTGACTAAAAAAAAGATATTTTTAAAATTTTTTAACAAAGTTTAAAGCAAACTTTGATGTATAAGCAGCACTTTTTAGAGCATCTTTTGCAACATTTAAAGCTTTTCGATAACCAGAAATTATTGTTTGAGGATGAATTCGTTGCCCAATCATTGTTTCAGCTTCCTTCAAAAGTTCAGCAGCAAAAACTGTTACGGAAGTTGTTCCATCACCTACAGCTTTGTCTTGAGTCAAAGAAATGTCTAAAAAATTATTTGGGATAAATATACAAAAAGACAATTTAAAGGGTTTAATCTTTTTATTGAATACTTTTCGGTTATGAGGTTACACATTTATTAATTTTAAAAAGTTCTCAAAATGGTCAATATATCATACATTGGGTAGAAAAAGGTGCTGAGTCGTCGGTACCAATCTTTTTTCAAGAAGATTCTTGTGGACCGAGATATAGGGCTCGAAATGGTAAAAAATCATAGGGAGTCCATAGGTAAGGAGATAAAACAATCATAGCTTTGTCCAAACTTTTTCAATCGGTTTGATTTTGGTGCCATTCAACTCAGCTCGAGGAGCTCGTTCGAATGAGCTATCATTCAAACAAAAAATGGATTGACCATATTGACCATTTTGAGAACTTTTTAAAATTTGTAAATGTGTAACCCCATAACCGAAAAGTACCGGGGAGGGAATTTGGAATTACCAAGAGCCTAAGAATAGAGATCAAAAATTAATTGGACGTGAGATATGCTTAAATTGAAAATTAAAAACGCCCAAATTTGTAAAAAATGAAATGCTTTACAAGATGCGAAGAAAGTTGGAGGTTTCGAAACTGTAGTATACCGAAAACGAAATATTGAACTTATAAACCAAAAATCATTTTTTAAATTAAAATTAGCAAATTTTAGAAGGGTGAAAAATAACCAAAAAAACATACCAACAAGCACTTTTGCTGCAGGATTATCAACTCCAATAGATTTTAAAATAGTTGCTCCATCATTAGTTACTTGAACGTTTTGTCCGTCCCCTGAACCGCTAACCAAGATTTTGTCCTTAAAATAATTTCGAATTTTAAATAAAACCAAAAACAAACCATCCCTTTAGGTCCAAGCGTTGTTTTAACTAAATCCCCAATTGCCGTAGCCCCAACAAAAGAAGAAATTCTAGCAATTTCCCCCCGTTCTTCTTGTGCATTAGCTTTTAAAACTCGAACAGGTCCGAAAGACATTTTTTATTCTAAGTAGATAAAAAAGATTATGAAATATTTTTAATGAAAATAAATTATGAAATTATGAAAATAAAAATAAAAAATTCAAAGGAAAAAAAGACAAAAACAAAAATAAAAGACAAAAGTACAGAATGTCAACTTGTATCCTTAAGGGAAAAGTTTAAGGGAAAGTTTTGTAAATTAAAAAAACTAAATTGGAAAGCTTTTATTTTTTAAATTTAAAACGCCGAAACTTGGATAGAATGAAATGTTTCTAAGATGCGAAAAAAGTTCGAAATTTCGAAACTTTGATTAAACTTTGGAAAAATTATTACTTTGGGGCGAATTATGACTCCACCCCAGAATATCGACACCCAAAATACGCGCCCTAAATATTGTTGATTTTAAATATCGAATGACTCTTTACAGGATCTCGGAATTTTCTCAACTTAGAAATTTTTACTGTTCAAATCACTCTAAGATAATATTATTTTCCATTTCACCAAACCGAGCTTTTTTCTATTCCGGATATCCAAAACCCCCAACTTTATTTGCGGCTTTTTATGTCGTTTAATAATATTTTTATTCTCACATGTTTTTTCATTCTTTTATTATTCATATTATTTCATCACACATTCTCTACACTTAATTGTGAATTGCAAAAACTTATTTCGAAATCTCACTTGCGAGGTAAATTATAAATTATAAAAAAATTATTTCTCAATGAACATTGCGAAATATCTCATATGTTTGCTTATGGTCGGCCTTATATAAGCGCATTTCCTTTAGCGTTAAGAAATCAGTTAGTCATTAAAAGCTCTTTTCAAAATTAAACAAAAAATATTAAAATTTTACTTTCAGTTTTTTAAATTTTTATATAAAATGCAATTTTTTGTCAGAAATCTCAACGGCAAAACAATAACTGTGGAGGCAAATCCCAGTGATCCCCTCAAAAAGATAAAATTACAAATTCAACAGAAAGAGCATGTTCCCGTAGAAGAACAAATAATTGTATAGTTTTAAACCTACATCACATAAACTTATTAATATTCCTTTCAAAATCCTTATAACATTTTTAGTCATATCAAAGCCGAGAACTAAAAAATGACAATGCCTCAATTGCAAATTTAAATCTTTTGCCAAATTCTACTTTGCAATTGAGTCTCTCACTTCGAGGCGGGGGTGCATATGATCGAACAGATCCAAAGCTAGTCCAACTAGCCAAAAACTACGTTTGGATACAGCTAATATGCAGGCAATTATTTTGATAATTTTAATAAAAACAGGCATGAACATATATAAGGATAATATCCATGGATACAGATATAATGGCCATATCCGCAATACTGACCCTGGCATGACCATTTTTATGGGAGATCCTTGTCCCCCTCGTTTTCCGCGAATATCCGAGGTCGCATATGGATATGTATGTAGTTCTAAATTTCATCCGGATATTAAATTAATTGTAAAATTTTGTAAACTAAAAAATTTAATAATTTATATTTCAAAAAATTCAATTTATCTAAAGGAAATGTTATGCTCGTGTATCAGAAAAATCGAAAAATTGCCGGAAATGTGGATCGTCCGACTTACGGAAAAGAAGTCTGATGCTATCAAAACCTCTGTAAACAATTACAGATATACATATGTAGTGCATGTGTCTATGTATAAATCACATTCTGTAATATTTTATGTTCATAGAGGACGATAAATTGTTAATACATATGTCACAAATTCACCCTTCTAAAATGATAGAATTTTGATTGGCTAAACCAACTTCCATATGGAGAATAACTCCCATCCTCTTTGAGAAGTTACTTAGTTTTGATTCCGATTAGAAAACACATTCTGCACAGCTAGACCAAATACTACGAACGTTTGTCTCACTAAAAATATTCAGTCTTAAAAACTGTTATTTTTTCGTTAGCGTCTATCATTTTCTTTGGCTGTATTTTAATATATGAAAGCTGATTGTGAGATCTCTACACTCGTATAATATACTGATCAACAGATACTTAATCGAATCTGCGTCGTAATTTAATTTCATTGTTGATATAGACGTCCAACTTCAATTTACTTAAAAATCCTCTTTTCTTCCAACTAACTGACCGTAATAGATCCTGAATGAATCCAAAGCTAACTCTGAAAACCAAAAATCGGTTTTTTGGAAAAGCATTAATCTCGATCCCCCATTAGAAAAGCTATATTTCCAGATTTAAAATTTAATCCATAATTTTAAATTTTAAATTTAATCCATAATTTTACTATAAAAACCTGTTAATAAAAACTTAACCAAAACATTCAACAACTAAACACAATACTTGTTCTTCTCTATTGTCGTCGGCTACTTTATAACGATGTCAAATGTTCCAGAGTTTATTGACAAATGGAGGGTCATCAGTGTTCTTGGTGAGGGCTCTTTTGGTCAAGTCTACTGTGTTCAGGACAGGAATAATAAGGTAAATTCCATCATTTTAACGACAAATAGACATTCTTTAATTTTAGCAAAGCCCTTTCTATGCTATGAAGGTTGAACAGAAGCAGAAAAACCGCAATGACGAAGTTCTTCGAATGGAGCTCCAGGTTATGCAGCATGTTACTGGAAGGTTCTTCTGTGATATTGTCCATAAAGGACAAACCGAGAAAATTACGTTTGTCTCTTAAAAGCTTTCTTAAAAACACGTTTTTTAAAGGTTTATCGTAATGACATTGTTGGGGAAACCATTGGACGAAATTCGACGGGCACAGGCAGGAAGACGCTTCAGCAATCCTACAGCAATGAAGATTGGTATGCAGATGATAAGAGTAAGGGGAAAACTTTTTTTGGAATTAGAAGTCTGTCTTATTAAAATTCTAGGCCTTCAAAAAGCTCCACCATGCAGGATACATTCACAGAGATGTGAAACCTGCAAACATGGCTCCAGGTTATCACCATCCAGAGTTACTTCATCTGTTTGATTTTGGGCTTTCTCGCTATATCTTCAAACCTGACGGTCCAGGTCATTTGAGACCAGCTAGGAGTAAAGTAAGTGATTGGGAAAGCTAAAACAGAATATTTTTTGTCTTTAAGGTTGCCTTCCGTGGAACATATCGGTATTGTTCCATCAATGCGCACATGTGTAGAGACCAGGGAAGAGTGGATGATCTTTGGGGGCTTTTGGTAAATTTTATAGGAAAATTCTTTTAAAGTACTACTCTCATTTTAAAGTACTCTCTCATCGAGCTGTGCACAGGATCACTTCCCTGGACCGGTATGAAGCAAGTTGAAAGCCTGAGTATCAAAACCGCTATCACGGACGATGAACTCTTCCAGGTGGGAGAAGGAAATGACTTTAAAATCTAAAACCTTTTATTTTTAGGAATGTCCTCGTTCCTTCAGAAAGGTCAAAAAGAAGCTCGCTCAATTCAAATTCGAAGACCAGCCAGATTACGATACTCTTCTAATGATGCTCTACAGAGAAATTTTTTCTCTCGGAGAACAGAAGCTTCTTAAAGAACCATTCGAATGGCAAATGCGCTCGGAGGATATGAACCCGTTCAATCATACAAAGCGTTGCAAAGAAGAAGTAAATTCCCTTTTAAGATTTCCTTTAATAAAATTCCTTTCTATTAAAGGACGAGGAGAACACAATAGGCACAGTCGAAAGCGAATATGACAGCATTGAAAGTAGAGGGGATACAGAAACACATACAAGAACTGTAGATGACACTCTTGATGACCTCAACGATGATAATCTGAAGGACAAAACTAAAATATGGGAGGAACAGAAGAAGCTAAAGAAGGCTGGGGGAAGTGCGAATAAAGAGAAAAATGGCAAAAATAAGCCGGCAAAAGGAACAAAGCCGCAGGTGAAATTCGAGGGAAAAACTAAGGGAACGGGAGTGCCAAAGAAGTAAAGTATAGAGATTATGTGTAGATTGTATGTATTTCTTCGTTTCTTCGTGATTTTGTAAATGTATGTATTATTAGTTGAAAAAAATAAAATTTGTAATCTTTGGTTGTAATCTTTGGTTATAATTTTCCAAACCATTGATATTTTCCTGCATTAAAATAACAAAAATAAAAGCTGTGAGGAAGAGAACGAAAATTTAATTTATCTGATACCAAAATATTTTTAAAAATATTTTTCTATATCTTGGCTTTCAATTAAAAATTACCTATTTTTGTTTTATAAAAGTTAAAGCATTTTTAAATGGTTAAAACCTGTTAATTTATTAAATATTTTTGAAAACATTTAATATTAAGTTTTTTTTATCATTTTTTCAGTTAAACTCTTACTGCTTAAATATAATAAATTTAAGCAATTTTTTATTAATGTTATTTTTAAAGATGAAAAGCATTTAACTCAATTTTCGTTTTTTTGTGCCTTAGAAATTTTAAACTTTGTAACTTACTGAAATAATTTTTCTAGAAAATAAAGCTTACGCTATCATATAGCAAATTTTAAAGGCTTTCGAATGAACCCAAAATGAGAATTTAAAACAAAAAAAAATTTCAAAGTGGGGTTTTTCAATTTTGTGGGGGGAGTGTACCTTTCTATGTATTTGTTTAAAGTTTTTAAGAAAGATCCGACTTTTCTTCAGTTTCCGAATTTTTTTAAGCTCACAGATCTCGTTTCAAGCCCGAGTAGTACTTTTAAAAAATATTGGAGGTAAAAGCAACGGCGCTATTAATCCAGTTTTCCGTCTGGATTTTCAGAATTCCAGAATCGGAAAAATCCCGAAATTTCTGTTAGTTACATATATAATTTAATTACTTAATTCAAGTATTTTAAGTAATTTAATTTAAGATTTATGTAAGTAATCTAATTAATAGTTTTATATATTTATTACATACATATGAGATATTAAAGCTAGAACAATGATCATGAATATTTCATAAAAATACACATTTAAATATATACAAAATAAACGAGAAAATAACAAATAATACATACATTAATTAATAATAATCTAATTATCTAATATATTTCTTCAATTTTGTTATTTCTTTGATTTTCCCGCTCCTTTGGTTTTTCCCTCGAATAAAACTTTGGGTTTTTGTCCTTTAATCGACGACGACTTTTGATCTTTTGCTGAATTCTTTTGCTCGTTCACTGCCGACTTTTGCCCTTTAATCGATGATTTTTGTCCTTTCGGTGAATTTTTTTGTTCCTTGACTGATAGCTTCTTCCCTGTTTCTGAAGGCTTCTTCTCCTTCTCTTTCACCGATAGCTTTTGTCCTTTTGGTGATGGCTTTTTATCCTTCTCCTTGACCGATAGCTTCTGTCCTTTCTCTGGCGGCTTTTTCTCCTTGACCGATGGCTTTTGCACTTTCGCTGGAGACTTTTGTTCCGTCACCAATGGCTTTATTTTTGCGGGCGGCTTCTGTTCTTTTACTTCTTTCACTAATGGCTTTTGCTCCACCTGTGGCTTTTGTTGAATCTTGACGTCTTCTTTACTCGTTTTCTTCTCTTCAATTTTAACCGCAGATGTAGCGGCCGCCTTTTTCAATTTCTTTTGCTCCTCCCAAATTTTAGATTGTTCTTTCAAGTTTTCATCATTAAGGTCATCAAGTGTGTTATCGTCCACAGTTATTGTATTGGTTCCATCCCCTCCCCCATAATCGCTGTCATACTCACTCTCGACTGTACCTATAGTATCCTCGTCCTCCTTTAAAACAAAAATAAATTTTAAATTAAACATTCCAAATTTCTTACTTCCTCTTTGGAACGCTTTATCTGCTTGAACGGATTCATAACATCCGGATGATCTTGCCATTCAAATGGCTCAGACAGAAGCTTTTCTCTTCCAAGAGCATAAATTTCACGAAAAAGCAGCAATACAAGGGTGTCGTAGTCTGGTAGATCTTCGAATTTGTATTGATTGAGCCTCTTCTTGACCTTTTTGAAGGAACGAGGACAATCCTAAAAATTCAAAAATAAATTTTAGTTTTTGGTAAATTTGCCTACCACGAAAAGTTCATCGTCTGTAATCCCCGTTTTAACACTCAGGCTCTCGACTTGTTTCATACCAGTCCAAGGAAGTGTTCCTGCACAAAGTTCGACGAGAGAGTACTTTAAAATAGATTAAAAACACAATTTTGAATTTTCATTTAAAATTTACCAAAAGCCCCCAAAGATCATCCACTCTTCCCTGGTCTCTACACATATGCGCATTGATGGAACAGTAACGGTAGGTGCCACGGAAAGGGACCTTAAAGGCACAAAATATTTTCTGTTTTAGCTTTCTCAATCACTTACTTTACTTCTAGCTGGTCTCAAATGACCTGGACCGTCAGGTTTGAAGATATAGCGAGAAAGCCCAAAATCAAACAAATAGAGCATATTAGAATGGTGATAGCCTGGTGCTATGTTTGCAGGTTTAACGTCTCTATGGATGTATCCTACATAGTGAAGCTTCTTAAAGGCCTGAAAAACAAAAAAATATCCACAATTAATTATTCGATTCCTTTACTTTTATCATTTGCAACCCAATTTTCAATGTAGTTGGTTTGGAGAAACGTCTTGTTGGCTGCGCTCTTCGAATGTCGTCCAACGGCTTTCCCAAAAGTGTAATCACAATAAACCTTTAAAAAACCAAGTTTTTAAGAAAGCTTTTAAGAGACAAACGTAATTTTATCTGTTTGTCCTTTATGGAATATATCACAGAAAAATTTTCCATTGACACGCTCCATAACTTGAACCTCCATTCGGAGAACTTCATCATTACGATTTTTCTGCTTTTGTTCAACCTTCATAGCAAAATACGTTCTTTTCTAAAAATAAACAAGTTTATTTGTCATTTAAACAATTTAAACACCTTGTCATTCTTCTCGTGAACACAATAAACTTGACCAAAAGCACCCTCACCAAGGACACAAACAATCTTCCATTTGTCAATAAATTGTGGTGGTGGAGCGTTCTCTGACATCTTAAAATGAAAGTTAATTAAAGATTATTAAAGATTAAAATGAAAATATTTAAGAGATCACCGTTTAAAACACAGCCTTCGAACAAATTGAGAAAAACGCGAATAAAAACTTGTTTTTGTTGAGTTGAGGAATGTTTGAGTTTTCATTATACAAGCTTTTATAGTAAAGAATATTAATAAACCTAGTTTTTAAAACTTTCCGGAAAAAGAATAAAAGTTTTTCCGGAATTATGAAATTAGTGATAAACAGAGAAAAATAAAAAGTATAATGAACTAGTTAGAGAATATGTATCTAAAACCCCCCAAAAAACTTCGAAAACAATTTTTATTTGACAAAATTCGTTTAAAACAATTGCGAGCACTTAATAATATGCTAATTAAATTATGGTTAGAAAACAATAAAAATGGCACAAATATCACATTAAATTAATTAAAGGGCATAATTTAAAAAATAATTTTCTTTTTAATTTTAAATTCTGTGAAGAATTTCTTGATGCATTTGCAACACACGAAGCCGATAATTTTTTAATAAAGGAGAAGAAAACATTAATTGCACAATTTGGGAATTACCATTAGGTAATTGTTGAATTATTGTTCTAAATTTCAAATTTATTTTTAGATAAATATTTTTGGAGTTTTGTTGGGGGGGGGGGGGGTTTATTGACAATAAATTTAAAATCCGAATAACTCTTCCATTTTTACCTTGTTTGTAAAGGATATTTACTAGCAAAAAAGAAAAGAATATCAGCAATATAATTAACATTAGTTGAAAGCATAGATTCATTTTGTATAGACATAAAAACAGCAGAAATCATTTTTTCAGCAACAATTTCAATACTTTGCATTAACACACGATTATCATTTTGTGAAAATTTTTTAAAGAAAAAACTTGTTGTTCGAAGTGAATCTTGTGTTAATGAAACATCTCGACTTATTTCAATTACCTAAAAAATATATTTTTGGTAAAGAGACTAAATAATTATTAAAATTGTTTGCAAAATAGAAGTTGAGACAGTATATCCTATTGGATAAAGGGCCGTCTTAAGAAACATCCAATGGTCCTCCTATCTTTTTCCAAATCAAGTTTCATTTTGTTAGATAAAAAATCAAGAATTTATATTTCTTTTAAATTTTTTAACTAACTAATATAAGAATTGGATACTTGCTTTAAAAATTTAAAATATCAGAAAAAATTACCTCAGCCAAAATAAAACAAGCACTTTGAATAAATTGTGACACAAAATACACAATCTCTTCAGATAATCCAGCAGCAAAAATTGGATTCCAAAATTTTTTAAAAATATGATTTGCTAATTCAACTAATTTTTCATCCAATAAATTAGGAAAATTTGAATTTTGTGGATTATTGGAAATGGAAGAAAATCGGTTAAAGAACCAACTAAAAATAATTTTTAAAATAAATTAAAATTTATTTAAAAACAAACCCAGCCAAATGTTTAATTAAAATTGGAGTTTCATCTGATTTTTTATGAAACGTCTGAAATTTAAAATTAAAAGGAAACCTCCCAGTTTAAAAAAACATTCTAATTGTAAGTTAAAAAAAATAAATTAATTCCAAAATTTTTTCTAAAATTTTTCTGGCTTTAGTAATATTGAAATTTTAATCGAAAAGAAAACAAATTTTTGTGAAACAATTTCCGAAAAAATCAGTAAAAAAGCTTTCAAGAAATTTCATAGGTAAAGAAGGCAAACAGAGAAAGATTTGGTTAGAGAACGAGGTTACATATGTTACTAATGTTTTAATTTAAAATAAATATTACTAAAAAAAGTCTTTTAGCCAATTCACAAGCAGGCACAGGATTACTTGTAATTATAGCATCGAGAAAATTCAAATAATTTTCAAGAAGAGGTGAAACATTTGTATATAAAGATAAAATTCCCGCTTCTAAAACTGCACAAATCTTAAAATTAAAAAAATTATATTTTAAAAGATATTAACACAAAGATGTATCTAAAAGGTAATATTAAATATTCTTCACCAACTAAGGTTGGCAATATCCAAAAGGTCTCGGTTCGGATAACGGTTTATCCCATGATTTTATAAAAATTGCGTTTTAAGTTTTTTAATTTTGTAAAAATGGTTAATTTTTGGCAAAACTCAAAATTTTCGGCTTTAAAACTGGTCGTGAACCACCCTACCAGATACATTCAATATTTATTTCTCTAAAATCACCTTTTCAATAATTTCTTCAGAAGGATATTCAATTGCAGAAAGTAAATTATTAAAAAGAGGCAAAGATTGTTTTAAAATAGATTTAACAGGCGATTCAATTTCTATACAAGAATTATTTGAATTATGTAAAGTAGCCAATAAACTAGCCAAAATACTCAATTCAAAATTAATTCTGTCTAACCACCCCTCCGTTTTTGGCGTTTGATTTGATAAATTTTTCAATTCTTTAAGCCAAGGAAATATTAAATGTTGAACTTTTTCCTAAAAATTTTGAAAAAAAATTTTTTTTTCTAACAAAAATATTTACAATAATTGTTTGATTATTCTTAAATGAAAGTCCAGTTCCAAAACAGCGAATAGAAAAAATACGCAAATCAGCAGAATAAGATTCATCGATAAAATATGTATAGCAACCAATAATTATTTGATCGATAACGCTCTTAAATTAATTAAAATTTTTATGAATTTTAATGGCTCCTTGTCTCAATTTTGAATTATTTCTGAACTTTCAAACAATTTTTGAAATTCATCAGGTAAAAATAGGAAAAAATGGGAGAAAGAAATCAATTATTTTTCAAACCCTAAATAATTTCTACTAATAAAAATTCAAACCTTAATATAATCTTCTCTACTTTTCATAAGCACAATTAACGTTTCAAAAGAAGATTTGCTCAAATCAGACAATTTTAAAATTGTGAGAATATTTTTCACAATATTTGGAATTGCACATTTCCTATCAAAACAATTATTTAATAAATGCTCAATTGCTCGAATAAATCGTAAATATGTTTTAGAAAAGTAAAACAAATCAGTTTTTGATATTTGAAGTAATTCCCATTCTTCTAAATTAACATGCTGAGAAAAGGAAGGCAAAAACATTTCCAAATGGTTTGATTGTAAAAAATCGGCAGCCTCTTAAAAATTTAAGCTATTAGAAAAAGGCTGGCCCTTTTATGATAAAAATTCATTTCTGAACAAAACGGTCGACTTAAATCCCGATTTTATTAAAATACCTAAATGGCTTTGGGAATATAAAATTATAAATATAAATTTCAAAGTCGGTGAAAAGCTTATCAAAAAATAAAAGCGTATGAAGGGATATTCTACGCTCACAGCCTCCTAACATTGTCCGTTTATTTAAAAAAAAAAGATTTATAAATATCTATAAAAATAAGTCAAAATCATTAAAAACCTGTCAACAGATGTATAACTGATTCCATACTAAAAAACAAAATAAAAATTTAAAAAAATTAATTAAATTAATCAATTTACCCAACAATATCACGATTATCTAGAGAAGCTTTCAATTTATTTGCCAATAATTCAACAGTTTCTTTTGGTGCAATTTGAATAGAATTAATACAAACATCACTTCTTTCAAAATTTCTATATTTTTCGAATTTTTCAAAATTTTCTTTATTTAAAGAATTTATTTGTTCAGAATAAATAAATTTTGTAGAAACAGATTCTAATAATTGTAAATATATTTTTATTGATTGCTTTTTCAAAATTAATTTATTTGAACTCCAATTGAAACTTTCATCCAATTGAAGTAATTCTTCTCTTAAAGAACGCCACCAAGGTTCAGGTAAATCAGAAATACATTCTTGAATTGGATATAAACCAGGATATGTTGAAATGTACAAAAAGAAAGCACAAAGTTTTCTTTAAAAATATTTTTTAGAAAAAAATAAAAATATTTCAGTCAATTAAAGGGGTAAGATGACAAAATTTTGTTAAGAGAGCTTCATTCTGGAATTTCTTTCTTTACACTACTTTTATTTAAAAAACCCACTTCGGTACAATTATTGCAAGAGAATAAATTAAACGTACCATTCTCACTAGTGTCGAGCTATTCTAGACCAAAGCCTGGGTTTTATCTGTATCCAGAGTCCAGGCCAGGCATTTTCTGACCTTTCGAATTTTTCCTGGACTAAAGGTCAATATCCAGTCCGGGTCAACAAATCAAACCAGAACCCAGGAACAGGTCCAGGCTTTTCAAAAATCACGATCTCCCTTCTCACCCCATTAATACAAGGACTGGGATTGCTAGGACTGTTTGGGATTATTTGTGACATGAGGTCATCCAGATAAAGTCCCAAATCAAAAAGCTTTATTTTAAAAAAGTTTAACTTCAAAAAAACTTACGAATAAACTTCAACAACCAACGGCTCATAAAAATTTTTACAAACAAAATCAACAATATTTTTTGCATATTCATGTCCAAATTCAACAATTGTACAAATTAACGGTGTTAAATCTTCCATTTTTTCCATCAATTGTTCAGACCCAATTTGTGAAAAGTCCAATTCCATTAATATTTGAGGTAAAATAATTTGAGTTAATGCACTAATTAATTGCCATAAAAGACGAGGTAAATTTCTCAATTCATCATTTGATTTGATTGTATCGAGAATACGAGTTAAACCCAAGCTGAAAAAATTATGAAGATAAGAATATTATAATCTTGAGGCAATTTCTCAATTTTAGAAGTCTTAAATCGCCTCATAAAAAATTCAAATAATGTTTCTAATGGAGGAAAAAACTGTTTGACAACCGGAAATGTGCATTTGCCTTGTTCATAACTCAACTAATAAGAAGCAGAATTAACTTCAATATTTCTGCATCAATAATGCGGCTAGTTAAGAGTTTGTCTGTCGGCTCAATTTAAATTGGCAAAAAAGGACAAGAAACATTCAAAGCAAAACCTTCCCATTCTTTTATACAAAAAATAAATTTAAAAATTCAACTTACTAGTCATTACTAATATTATTAAATAAAGCATCGAAAACAGAAAGAAAATCTAGCAAGTTTGCCCCAGGTAATTTCAACCATCCTTCAATACATTCAACAGCAGCATTTCGTACAGAACAAGACAAATCATTATCTCCCAAGACTTGTTGAACTAATTTAACTATTTCCTTTAAATATTTTTTAAATTAAAATTAAAAAAATAATTTTCAAAAAAACCTTTGTCGATTTCTGTAGTTCTGTTTTAATACTTTGGCGGTGATCTAAAGAGACATTGAGGTGATGAAATTCTGTTGAAATTTCAGCTAGAACTCTAAAAAATTTATTTTTTGATACTAAATGAATTTGAAAATAATGGCTTAGAAGATAAAATTCTTTAGGATTTCTAATATAAAATCTTTAGGAATTTAAACAAAGAAGAGCATTGAGGGTGAAGTTGAGGATTTTTAAAATACAAACAGCGGGCTAGGTAAAAAATTTTTTTTTAATTACTGACATCACTGATTAATGTAAGGAAATTAGGAAAAACACTATCCACTAGAGAATTTACAAAAATTTTTAAAATCAGTCAGGAAATCTAAAAACTTACACAAGATCAATTGCAACTTTCAAGAAAAAATACTCCAAAATTTTTTTGTAAAAAATTAAACGAATAGCTATATCTCTAATTACAAAATTTTTTAATTTAAAAAAACCTCAAAAGCAATTCAATTTGACAAGACCAAAATAATTGCAATTCACTAATAGGATCATTCCAAATATCTGGTAAACATTTCAAAATAAAAAGTGCCAATCCAGCAGAAAGTTTATTTAAAACAGAATGGGCCAAAGAATGAGCACTTGAAGACAACTTTTGAAGAAAAAATGTTTTTAATTCTTCTGACTGAAAATTTAGAAAATAATTTATTTAAAAATAATTTTAGCAAACATTTTCAACGCTTTCAAGAATTTCATCAAATTTTTTAGAAATAACAAAGTAAAGAGTTTCTGCACCAAAAAATTGAACATTTACAGGATTAGAATTGTCGATAATGGAAACTAAAAAATTTTTTTAATAAATTAAATACGAGTAGAAGTTAAGGAACTGGATTCAAAAACCTAAGAAAAAACAAAATCATAAGACTAATCCTCCGTAGGAAAAACTATATCGAAAAATCAGAACTTAAAATTCAGAATAGTCATTCCAATAAAAAATTTAAATTACTTGCTAAACGCCACGATCCTTTACCTAAAAATTAAAACTAATAACAATGCTAGACAAATTAAAAAATACTTTGCCGAAAATTCTCCAAAATATTGCCCAGTTCTCTTCTGGAGGGTTCAGAAGTGGTTTCATAGAAATTTGTTATACTTGTCACCAATATTTTAGTTTGATGATCCATCCTAATAAAATATTAAGTTTGAAATTATTAACTAAAAATTTAAATATATATATATATATAATTAGAAAAATAATCTTTAAAGCAACAAAAAAATTCCTTTATAAAATTTACTCAAAATACAAAACGTTCAAAACTTAAAAACGAGTTATGTACAAAATAAATTAAAAATGAAAGCGTCAAAATTTTTTGTAAGTCGATTTAAGGTTCTTTAATTTTAGCAAGATCCAGGCAATATGAAATCGGAGATCATTAAGTATCTGAAAATTTAACATAAATTAATCTCTTAAATTCGAATGTCTAATGGGATACAAGGAAATAGACATGATTTGTCTGAAAATATTGGCTAAAAAGTGCAAACCTATGATAATGAACGGTATCATACCCCAAAAGTCAACTAAAAATTAAAAACCTCATTTATTTTTCTCCAAATCTCTCACATTTGTATTTTCCACATAAATAGCATAATCACTCCTTTTATGGTCCTCTCCTTCAGGAGACATTTTTTCAACATTCAATCCTTCCATCACAACTTTAGCAAAAGCCACTTTCAAACATTTATTGACATCTTTTGCTCCAACATAGAAAAAGTCAACATATCCTTCTTTAGGAAGGGGAGTTTTATCTTCAACTAAAAAATATTTAAATTAACCTATTCTATTTTTGACTTACTAAAAAGATCTTTGGACATGAAAAAAAAGATTAAAATTAATTTTAAAGCTAAAAATAAATTTGTAATTTTGTAAAGAAAATAAAATTATAAAATATTTAAATCGTAAAGAATACATTTTAAACAAAAATAAATCGTGGTCATATTGAACTGGACAGACCCCCTTTTTTTCCTCTATATTTTTGTAAAAAGTTCAGACATTTCCTTTCTTCCATCCAAATTGCCTTTCTAATTTTTGCATACAAAAAGGATTATTTAATTTTATACAAGTGCAAGTACATGCCAAAAATTGAGAAATTGAGTCTTCTCAAAAAGGCAATTTGAATGGAGGAAAGAAAAAGTCCGACCATTTTGCAAAAAATAGAGGAAAAATGGGGAGGGGAAAAAAGGGGGGTCTGTCCGGTTCAATATTACCTAAACTTTTTTCAATTCCAAAATTTATTCAAAAAATTAAAAACTCAATTGTTTATAAACATAAAAACGTTCAGTAGAACTTCCAACAATTTTACAATTTTTCATTAAAAATTCTTCAATTTTTGCCGGATCTAAACAATAATCCAACAGATATGGTTGAATTTCCTCTTTCTTCCATTTTTCTTTTTTAGAGAAAAGAATTGACAATCTAAATGAGATTGGGAGTTTTTCAATAATTTAAAATAAATTTAATAACCGTTTTTGTAAATCTAAAGGCAAATCTAATGAAATTAATTTATTTACAACTTTTCCTCGAAAATGAGAATTTTCAACAATTCCAAGTCCAGATAAATATTCCTCTTTGAAATAAAGCTGTTTTGGTAATAAATTATTTATTTTTAATTCAAAATCTTCAAAATCCAAAGGTTTGTCAGGCAATGAACGAAGAAGATTTTCAATGTAAATTCTTGATATTTTAGATTCATTAAAAGAATATTTGCCATCAACTTACAAAAATAGATATTATTATTGAAATTAAATGCAAGAATAGAACAGAAAGTTATTTGAATAGTTAATGTTAAAAGCTGAATTTTTACCCCTTTCGATCTTAAAGGAACATGGGTACTCCCAAAAAATATAAATTTTACCACAAACCATTTTTATCACAAAAATTGTTCAAAACCCAGTCAAATGTCTCCATCTGTATATTTTCCAAAGAAATAAGTTGAAGCAAACCGTCTTTTGAAAAGTACGCAATTTCATCTTTACCATCATTGTTAACAGCTTCATCAATTTTTTCAATAAACTTCAAAATATATTCGTTGCTTATCCAATAGAACTTTTGCTCTAAATAGAAAAATAAATCAAAATAAACAGGAAAATCGCTTAAAAATGGGAAAAGAAACAGGCAAGGAGAGATGAAAACTGGCTACCGAAGGAGATCCAAAAGATATGGTTGGCATATTTTTTAAAAAAAGGACTGTAAATTGTCTTAAGACAACTCCATAAAAAAATTTAACAACTAAAAAAAATAAAAAATAACCTAATTCAGCAACAGGGAGTTCTGACAATTTGTTGATTAATTCTTCTTCACTAGCTTGTATACAACACAAAATAGTTTCCAAAAAAATTCTAAAAATAAACGTTTATAAGATAAAAATTCCAAAAAAATTACCCACAATTTGCATCTTTTGCAAACATTTCAATTTTATGGTCATTAAATAATTCTTTCAATTTTTGAGTTAAATTTGGTCTAATACGTGTAGTTTCAAGAAATTTATTTGTAACTGACACAATATTCTTTAATATTATAGATTTTCTAAAAAAATAAAATTAAATACCAAATTGTTTGAAATTGATGATTCTTCAGATATTTCCACTTCATTTAAGGCATCCTCTAAAATAAGCAAAGAATTTGAAACTTCAAGTTCTTTACAACAAAATGTTTCTGTTTTTGTACACAAAACAATTTCATCAGAATTGTATCCTCGTATATAAATTCTAAAATTAAATTTAAAAAAAATAATTTAAAAATTAAAAATATACTCATTTCCATTTAAAAAATAATTAACCAAATTCTTATCGACTTCAGCAAAAATAAAATCATTTGAAGAAAATTGGGGAGAAAACAATAGTTGAACTGAAGAATTGTTTATTGGTGAAGTTAAATTGTCCATGAGAATATACTACAAAAATAAAAAAATTTAAAGAAAAAAATTTTAAAAATTTTTCGGCGCAGCGTGTTTTCGGCGTGAGAAGAAAAGCGACAAAAAACTTGCGCGCCCAAACGTGGTGTACCGCAAAAAAGCTGTTTTTCTCTCGACCTCCATTTATTTAATGATATCTCACCATAACAAATTAAAAAGACTGTTTCAGTGCCAAAAAGATTGTTAAAGCTAGGCTCATTTCGGTAAAAGATTTGAGCAAATTGAGTGCGGCTGGCACGATCAAGAATCACTAAACAAACACCCTCTAGGCTATAAACAAATTTCCTACAGGCAGTTTTTTCAAATAAGGTTTTGGGCTTTACCCTGCCGAGTTTCTAATTCTTTTTCAGGTTTTTAAGTTTTTTTATTTTTAGAAATCAAATGCAGTACAAGCAGTCGATAGCCTGGGTTCATTTTGAGCAAGAGACAAATTCATTAAATGTATCTTGCAAAATATGTAATCAAGTGCTTATAAGAGGTGATAAATCAACTAAAGGTTTGTGGAGTCATTTAATGCACAAACATCAAAACGAATATCTTTTATTACGAATTTCTCAAAGTGGAGTGCAAAATCAGGTTTTTTAACTTTTAATAATATTTGAACCCCTAATATGTTGAATAAGGTTTTCACTATTTATGTGGGGGATTTTACAGAATTTTCCTTGCTTTTTTGTGGCTTGAATTCCCCAGACCTATTACTCATCCCTGTATTTCCCACTAATAGTAAAATTTAAAAATCTCATATCAATTCTAATAATTTAGGTTGTTTCCAATATTCCAAAGCAGGTTATTTTCTATTTTTTAATGTTAAATTAATTCTAATGATTTATAGGAGCGAAACGACGAATCAATTGTTGATGTAGTAGACATTGATGGGCCCATTAACAACTCCGTATCACAAAGGTTTTCAATACAATTTTACTTTAAAATATTGAATTTTTATTTTCTTCAGTACATCCCAAATTTCTAAAAAGAACCGCGAGAAATATTGTCACGACGGTTATTCTTACATTAGGGACGGCCAAAACGCCACAGGTGAAAAAATGTTTTGGCGTTGTGACAGAAACCGCTCTATTGGTTGTAAAGGACGTGTTCACACTGCTGCTGATGCTGAACGGACATTCTTAAGTTTGGTCACTCCTCATGATGAATACTGCAATGGGGACAATATTTTAATAATTGGAGATCACAAAGTTTATTTTATTTTGTTTTTAAATTTGTTTTTCGGCAAAGGACTAGTTGTGGAATTTCTAAAATTGATTTTAATTTTTAGAGAGCGAGAATTTCAAAAAATCCTGACCTTGATTTTGGTTGGTTACCTTGACCAGATTCTTGACTTTGAGTCAAGGAAAAAATTAAGGTACTCTGAAAAATGCCTTGATATGGAGCCTTGGCGCCAAAAATTTGGCGCAGAAAAATTTTCCCCCTTGGCCCCCCGAAAAAATCCTGGCTACAGGCCTGGTCTGTATCCAGATCCAGCTCGCTCTCTAATAATTTTGAAGTCTTTTCTATTTCTGCGACTATTAAATCGCTAATTTAATTTCGACTAATTTTTTCATTGGCCAAAAATTTTGGATTTTTGTCTAAAAATTTTTTTGGCTGGTGATTTCACATCAGTCAGATTCGAATCTCGAATTATCCACAAATTATCCTTTGCCCTTAATTTTTCTTGTTTTTTTTAATTTTTTTCATTTGTTTCTCTCCGATATGGTCATAGCCACCAGACATACTTAACTCATCACTTTAATATTTTAATATAATTTTTTAGGATGGCTTCATTTATTAAAACTAAAAGAGATTCAGATAAATTAGTTTTTGAAGGCCACACTTATTTTAAACACAGTACAGCCTCTCAAAACCGAATTTATTGGGGGTGTATTTTACGACGAAAAATTAAATGTAGAGGTTTTGCTGTGACAGATGTAGACAATAAAGTAACTGTTACTAATCAACATTGTCATCCTCAAACATATGACCCAATAACTAATACTTCATCAACACATTTGGAAGGGGAAGAGGTGTTTTTAAATTTATATTTATTTTTAAAAAATGAAAATTTTAAGGCCACGCTTCCGATTTTGGTGAGTTTGGGAAAAATGACTGACAGGCGAAAGGAGCTGAAAAAATCTGGGAAAAATATTTTAAAATTGGGAAAAAAATATTAAAGTGATGAGTTAGGTAATTTTTGTGTGTTTAGTCTTTTTTATTTTTTGTCCAAATCGGAGCGTGACCTTTTAAAAGTTCTTTTAATTCTAAAATATTTTTAAAAATTCGTTTAAGAACATTATCCGTGTGCGAACAAAAATCCCAACACAAAAAAGAAAGCAAAGTCTCAAAGAAAACGATTTACAAACAAAACGTCTAAAATCTGAAGGAAATTTAAGTAATGTTAAATCTGAATGGGAACACTCAACTTTTGATGATTTTGAACAACAGGTAAAAATTTGAGAGAATTTTTTTAAATTAAAAGGAAAAGGAATTTTAACTTTAAAAGAATTTTTAACAATTAAAAAATAGTTCTTTTTAACACATTTTTATTTTTCCTTTTATTTTTCACCTTTTTGTACAATACAAACAAACAAATATTTTATCTTTTCTCACCTATGTTAGTTAATTTCTTTTCCCTTTACTTAACGAAAACTTTTTTCACTTCATTTTTTTCTTTTTTTTAAAGATTAGAAATGTGGAAAATATTTTATTAGATTAAATTAAATCTTAAATTTTTACCTTAAAAAAATAAATTCTTTTTAATTAAAATAAATTTTTATTTTTAGTGTTCAACAACAACAATAGGCACATTAATGCAACAAATTCAACAAACAGAAATGGAATCAATGAATGCCCATCTTTTTGTTGAATTAATGGCTCAATTTTTTGGACAGGGTTGGATGTTGGGAAGTTCTGGGGGAATGGCTGCAATTACCCAATCTTTGGGGAATGGAGAGGATGGGGGAGATTGTCTTTTACTTGTTTCCCCCTCTTCTGTCCCAAAAGAACGTTTAACAGAACAGGACCTTTTTGCTTTTGATTTAAAATGCATTCAAGAACGTTGTGATGATATTTGTTTATCTACAAATCCAATTTTTGGACCAACACATTTAAGGCCGAGTGCTTGTACTCCCCTATTTTTACTTTTATTACAATCAACGCCTGGGACTAGTTGTGTTATTCATACACATTCAAAATATGCAAATTTGGGTTGGTTTTTGGTTACTTATTGTTGTTGGGTATTTGAAGGGAGTTTTCTTTTCCATCATCTTTGTTTCTGATTTTTAGATTTTATTAGAGCCAAGATTTTTGAATTTACTTATAATAAAAATGTTTTATCAAAACGTTAAAGTATCAATCCAAAACTTTTACACAATCTCAATATTTTATTATCAATCCATTGCCTTTTAACTTCCCAAGGGTTGAAGGAGAAACCCTCATCAACTTCCCAATTTGTCTACTTTAGGGATAAATATTCAGGAATATTACACAAAAATTTCGGTACTCTTGTGTTATCTCCCCCATTTATCTCCTCCCTTCTCCTTTCATTTTCCTTCCTCCACTCCTTTACTCTTCAAAAAAGTATTTTTTTCTAGTTACTGTCCTCTTTGCTCAACGCAATTGTTTAGAAATTACAAATCAAGAAATGCTTAAAGGTGTAATGGATCGACGCAATTGGCGTTCATTTCAAAATACTGACAAATTTATTCTTCCAATTGTTGAAAATAAACCACAAGAGCAAGATTTACTTGTGAGAGATTTTTTTGTTTTGAAAAAAAATTTTTTTAAATTATTTAGCCAATTTTGAAGGTGGCAATAGACAAATATCCCCATTCCCCAGCATTTCTTGTTAGACGACACGGATTATTTGTTTTGGGTCCAAGTTGGCAAAAGACTAAAGTTATGCTGGAATGTTTAGAATATTTATTAGAATTAATTTGGGAAATGGGAAAGGCGGGAATTGATGATATTTAAATTAAATTTTTAATAATTTTATTATTTTTTATATTAATTGACTAGTAGAGATCGGTATTTTCAAAAATCCTGGATCTGAATTTAGATTAGTAACCTGGACGGGATTCTTGATCTGGATCCAGAAAAAATCCAGACTGGATCCAGACCGATCTCTATTGACTAGGTAATATTTCTGCAGTTTAACGTTGGATAATAAATAGTATATTTAATTTTATTTAATATTGAATCAAGCTAATTTTGGAGTTACAATTTTGTATTTTCTATATCTTTTGTTTAAATTTTAAAAATCACAAATTTTTTAAAAATTTAATCTAGAATTTTATTTTAAATTAATTTAAAATATTTTAGTTCCTTTTAATTAAATTTATTTTATTTTTTCTCACTTCGATCAGTCTGCGTGGGAGTAAAAGAAATAAAGTTTAGAGAGAGAATTGAATAAATGAGAGTAGTGGGAAATAAACCATTTAATTTTGAGAGATTCACAGCTGATTTATAAAATATAGAGAAGAAGAAAAAAAATTTTAGACTTGGAAAAATATTGACGGGATTAAAAGCTTTTATTAAAATATATACAGTTGCTAATTGTTAAATTGCCTAAAGGTTTTTAAATAAAAGCTAGAGAAATATAAAACAAAAGAATAATTTAAAAATTGTGTTTTATAAAAATATTTTGGAAGCTTGTTAGAGAGAAAATAAAAACAAATAAAGAAAAGCCTTGAAAGAATTTTATTGACGCTCAATCTAGTTAATAGCATTAGTCATTTGTTTAAGCTTTTAAAGGGTCCGAAAATCGACTCAATTTTTTTTTGTTGTTGGTAGTCCTTTCAAGATTAAACGGCTGCTTAATTTTTGACTCAATTATTTTCTTTTTACCATTTAAAAATTTCTTAGGATAGAATTACTTTTAAAAGTTTTGAAAGTTTGTCATACAGTCATCGACATAAAGATAGGGGCAAGTGTAAATGAAATGAAAATTAACTATTTTTCATTCAAAAAATACGTTCTATATAGCAATCGAAAGCTCTATTCGTATCTCAGTTGACATGTTTCTGCATTTTTCATGAAAATGATAATTGGCCGAGATAATTCGGATCTACCGGATATCCCAAATCCTATATCCTCGGAAAAATTTTTCTGGAAAAATTTAACAAACCCATTTGATAAAGCATATTTTTCTGGGTATTTAACACAAAAGCGCTTAAAGATATCTTTTTCCGGACCAGAGATATGATTTTTTGAAGATGGCATTTTTCCCTTAAAAATTGAATTTTTTGCAAAAATAGGCGAAAAATGCCATTTTCAAAAAATCATATCTCTGCTCCGGAAAAAGATATTTCTAAGCGGTTTTGTGGAAAATACTCACAAATATATGCTTTATCAAATGGGTTTGTTAAATTTCTTCGGAAAAATTTTTCCGCGGATATAGGATTTGGGATATCCGGTAGATCCGAATTATCTCGGCCAATTATCATTTTCATGAAAAATGCAGAAACATGTCAACTGAGATACGAATAGAGCTTTCGATTGCTATATAGAACGTATTTTTTGAATGAAAAATAGTTAATTTTCATTTCATTTACACTTGCCCCTATCTTTATGTCGATGACTGTAATTGTGAGATATTAAAGTACAAAAACTAAAATACAATTGCTTGCCTCTATTTTACGTACAAAATACATTTCAATATCGTTCATTGAATTGGGAGAGCCTACTACCTAAGCGATACCCTCTATTTAAGATACACTCATTATAGGATAAAATTTTTCAGCCCCAAGGGGTGTCTGAAAATGAGGTGCAACTGTACTATATTTACATATACATATATTGCATAGAGAAATTTTTTATCAAGTGTACTTAATAATTCATTATCCTTTTCTCACTCAAAAATACTCTTTAAAAATTTTTTTAAATTTATTTTAGCAATGCCAGAAGAGGAGCACGGGAACAGTTCTGAAGAGGAGGAAGAAGAAGACGAGCCTGTGCCCGTTCGTCAACAACAAGTTAGAATGGTTGTTACGGATGCTTCTAGTGGTTATGGCCAGGAATCAACCACAGATGTATTGAATTATCTTTAAAAATTTTTTCAAAAAATTTTTTTTCTAGTCTCCAATAGCTAAAACAGCCCCACAAGCAATTGTCACAACAACAAGTACAACAACAAAAGTTGCTGGCAACGAAGATGTATCTGAAGCCCAAGAGGCTGCTATTGAAGCGGCTCGTAAACGTCATCAAGAGGCTATAGAAAAAGCTAGAGCTGAGGCAATAAAAATGCAAGAAGAAGCGCGTGCTAGGGCAGAAGCTGCACGTCAACAGCAACAACAACAATTTCAAGAACAACAGAAATTGGCGAGTTTTTAAAGGGTTAAATGTTGCAAATATTAATTTTCCACTATCAAAAATAAATATTTTTCCTTCTTCCTTTTTGAAATATTTTCAAAATTAAGTAGAGTAACAAATAAACGAGAATCAGCTTCTATGTATCAGTAGCCAAACAGTCACAACATGTACATATATTTATTCTTGCTTATCAGATCAACCCTCATTAGCGACTTTTAGATTTTGCTCATGTTTTAAATAACATGAGGGTGATTTGACTGAAAGGAGGGGAGAAGGTACTAGAGATCGGACCGAGACAAAATCCCGAACAAAAATTTATGTTACTTGGTTCGTTATTTTTCTTCTCGTACAACCTTCCCAAACAATGTTTAGATTTTGTGGGAAATATTTTATTTTAATTCTTCAATATATTAGGCAGCGGAAGAGCAACGTCAACAACAAATAAAAGCCCAACAAGAAGCTGCTAAGCTTCAGGCTGAACAACGTGCTGCTCAATTAAAGGCACAACAAGAGGCTCAAAAAGCAGCTGCTGTTCAACAACAACAAGTAAAGGAAGAATTTTTGTTATTTAAATTAATTTTTAAAAAATTCCAAAATAACCTCAACAAACAAACATTTTCTCCTTTTCTTTTTTTTTAAATTAAAAAGTAACAAAAAATAAATTTTTCTAACTTTTACATCAAAATAAAAGTTTAACACTTATAGAGAGAAAAGTTTATTTTTGTTATTTAGACTTTTCAAAGTTGAAAAAAGAGACAGACTTTTATTTTAAAAAAGTTAGTGACGAGAATTTGTTAAATTAAAGAGAAAAGGATATTTTTTTAGTATTTTTTCAATCATTTTTTTACCGGAGTTTTAGTTCCGTATATTTAAGTAATAATTTTAGAAAGAAATTTTTTAAATTGATTTTAAAAAGTCGTCAAAGATATTTTCTGATAAAAATTAATTTTTAAATAAATTTATGTCAAAATCCTTAAAAATCCTTATAACACCTCCAACTCCTCCTATTCTTTCCAAAAAACAGGTTCAACAACAGCCCCAACAACAAAAAGTTTTACAACAACAACAACAAAGGCCTGCCCCTCCAACACCCACAACTCCGAAACCGGCTGTTCAAACTCCTCCTGCACCGGTAAAATAATAAAAAAGGAATTTAAATTCGTTTATATAAACCTCTCTAATAGACGCCTATTCTATTTGCTAGTTGATTAAGAATTCTTTCTTTAGCTTCCTCACCCTCTATATTGTAGACGCTTTTTGAGGAGGTATGCATAAGAGCGAAGAGCAGAAATGCCGCCTTCATTATGAAATACCTTCTAGGATTATATCCACAGAATAAACCTTTTTCCGGATTGGGCGTTCTTTAGAGAGTGTTGTTTCATTAAAAATTTATTTTCTTTATTTTTCAGTCTAAACCGGCTCCCGCACAACCTAAAGCAGCTGCTCCAGCTCCACCAAAAGCTGCCGCCCCCCAGCCAAAATCCCCAGCCCCGGCTCAACCAGCTAAAACTCCAATTCAGCCAAAACCTGTCCAACCTCCAACAAAAACACCAATTCAACCTAAAACTGCCCCACCCCCAGCATCGCCTACCAAAACTCCAATAGCTTCAAATAATCCATCACGTCAAGCCCCTCCTTTGGCTAAAGAGCCAGAGCCTTTAGAGCCACCAAAGCCCATTTTGGCACACGCACCTTTTCAACCAAAAAATCCAAAAGCAGAAAACCATTCTTGGCCGCCTCCTCAAGAAGAAGAAGATTTAAGTATTGAGGGGGGAAAACGAAACAAAATTTTGGTAAAATAAAATTATTTAAAAAAATTATTTTAAAATTTTGTAACAAAGATTTAAGTAAATAAGGGTTTTTCTAATTTTTTAGAAAAATTTTCGCGTAAAGATTTGGTTAAGGAAAGTATTTTTTGGATTGACTATTAGTTCATTTAATCAGTTGACACTCGTTATATCCACTATGGATGGGCATATTGTTTGCATAACAATGAAAAGAAATTCGAAAATCAAAAAAGATTTTTCAAAAAATAGAATTGCTTCAATAATAATTTTCCGTTCAAATTAAATCATTTACAAAGGATCTTTAGTTATTGTGGGCGGGGATGACCGAAATTTCGTTTCGATTCGAAATAAAATTTTTTTATTTCGCCCATTCCTGATTGGGGGTTTATTAAATATTTTTTAGTCTATAAAATATGTTATTCATAAATAATTAAAAAAATTCTTTTAAGGATGACAATTCTTGGCAAGTACAAAAACGAATTCAATTAGAATATCAACCTGTAAATTTATAATTTTAAAAAAATTAAAGAGAAAAATGAATTTTCTTAGATTCAGCCAACAAAAATTCAACCTCCAGAATTGGATTATGAAGGGGAAATTAAGGCAAACTTTTTATTTTTTATTTTTTTTTCAAAATTTATTTTAAAGAGAACAATAGTTCCTCAACCTGCTGGTTATTCTAAAATACAGTGGAATGAATTTCCTGAAGAGGAACAAAAGGTGGGGAAAAGAGAGGGGGATTTTTTAAATAAAAATACATAATTTTAAAAAGGCACTTCCAAAAATAATTTTGTAAATTTAAATTCTCTATTTTGATTTTCATATTACTTAGATTTAGAGTCGGGGTTTTCGAGTCGGGCCGATGTTCGAGTCATTTTTCAGGCCTCATTTTTATCAGGCCGGCCCGAAGGAGTCTTTTTCGGGCCAAAATTTGATGCCCGACTCGATCTTTCGGACCGGGTCGGATCGGGCCCCCAACCCTACATAGAGTTCCCCAACATAATTAGAAACTAGGGTCTTTCATTTTTCAAGAAATTCTGTTACCTCTTGACTATCCCTTAAACAAATTTTTTATTCCCAAAAATATACATAAATATTCTGCAAAAATGTTACTTTAGTTTAATCCTTTCCAAAAATTTTCTCAAAAATCTTTTAAAGGAAAAGCAATCAGTCCCGCGTGTAAAAGCTCAGGATTGGGTACCTGAAAATGATGCTGAACATCCAGTATTAAAAACAATATATCAACCGGGAAGGATTGCCCCAAATCCAACATCTGGCCGTTTATGGCCCCCTCCAGGTTATGGAGAAGAGGAAGAAATTGAAATTGGGCATGCCAACAAAGTAAAAACAATGGGGGATGATGACTGGAAACAAGGGGAAGGAGAACAATTACAAAATGGGGAAGAGAATAGTGTTGGGAATGCCCCTTGGAGTAGACAAGCTGCTGGGGGAAATGTTAAAAATGTGCAGTGGCCTCCTCCCGAGAATCAGTTGGAACATGGAGAATTTGGTAGAGGAAAATTAAATGTGCAATGGCCTCCCTCTGAATTTGAAGAGCAAGAACAAAAACAGGTAAATTAAGGAATGAATGAGAGTACAGTAATCTCAAAAATTAATTCCCTAAGGCCTCAGAAAACAAAATCTTATTTGTAATCCCCGAGAAGAAGGGACTTTTAAATTTATATTCGAGAGACAAATTCCGAAGTACTACTTCCTGTCAAATAATAATTAAAAATTTAATCATTTCTTTTGCCCATTTTTTTATTTTTTATTTATGGGCAACCCTTTTTGACCTTTTAATTGTTTTTATTTTTCAATCAAAAATTTGTTAACAAATTAATTCAAAAGTAAAATGTGTTTTTTAAAGAAAAGAGAGGAAGGGAGGAGCAAAATCAACAAAAGTACAGAAATTTAAAAAATTAAAATTATAAGTTGAGAGGGTTGCCCATGTGTACAGAAATTTTCGAAAAAAATTGTTGTAAAAATTAATAAATAAAAATTAAAAAGGCCGAGTCAATTTCCTCTCCATGGGGACGGCAAGTAGACGTTGGCAATGTTAAAAACACTCAATGGCCACCCGAAGAGAGTGTTTCTGAACACGGTTTTGGCCCTGGAGGGAGATTACAAGTTCAGTGGCCGCCAGAGGAAGGAATGGAGGAATTTGGGAGTCAACAGGTGGATGAAAAAAAAAATGGGAATAAATTTAGAAAAAAAACACATGGGCAACCATTTAGGTGAAAAAGTATTCCCTCGTTATTCTCGATAATAGGCACTAGGTATCGCGCCGACAGAAAACCAAATTCCCGATTTTCGGGAATCGGGTCGGCGCGATCCTTGGCTAGCAAGTTAGTGTTTACGGTTTTTATCACTAGTTACCGACGTGATTTACATAAAAATCTAAGTGGTTAACCAAGCAAGAAATTGTTTTAAGTAAAACCCCTAGTCCTTAATTGACTTACCTATTCACCTAAATTTCTCTTACAAAAATTTTCAAAAAATCTTTAAATTAAAAAATAATGAAAAGGCTGAGGGGCGTCTACAAGCTGCTGGTAGTAATGTCCGTGGAGTACAATGGCCCCCACCCGAAAATATATCAGAACCTGAGGCTTTCGGTGCTGGTAGGATGCAAGTTCAATGGCCACCTACTGAACAGGAAGAGCGGGAAGTTCATCAAGTGAACAATAAAAAATTTTTTTTTAATTTAATAATTTTTTGTGTGTATTTTGCTCCTCCCTTTCTTTCCAAAAAATATTTTTTTTTGGAAAAAATTTAAAAAATTAATTTCATCTACATATTTTTATTTATTTAGGTAGAAATTCTTCAAACTCATTTGCCCACAAAACCGCATCAGAGAGAATGGCCACCAGCTCATTATGTTGCTGCCCAGGCTGGAGGGGTTGAAGGTAAACTATCTATCTTTATTTAGTCCTTCCAATAATTTAAAATTTTTTAGCACAATAAATCTTCAATTGTTCAAACAAGCAAATGGATTATATGAAGAATATTTTGTTTTATCGAATAATTTTATATTAAACACAAATTTTTGAAAACGGTTCAAAACGCTAAATATATCTACTTTTAAATAAATTTCTTGGATGATTGTATTTTAGTTTAGAATGAATAAATAAAGGCATTTTTTTCCAAATTATTAAAAAAATATTTTGTCTTATTTATCTCAAAAATGACATCTAATAAGGCAGCTGGGCTATAGTTATTTCTCTCCTTCAGCTAGTGCTAAAGGTTATCTGGCGGCTAGGAGCGAAACAGCATCTTCAGTAGATCGGACTGTATAGCCTTAGGAAATGAATTGCTATACGCTTTGCAATCTTCTCCAAAATAATAGAGAGAGAATTGGAAGGGGGTACATCTCCTTTTTTATCTTTTTTGTCCAATAAACATTCAAAATTTGTTCAGTCAAAACTTCACAAATCCCTCCAAAAACTTTTATCAACTTTCATAAATTTTAACACAATCTACATATTTTTATCAACCAATCAACAATATTTTTTCTTATATTCTTCCTAATTATCTTTCTTCTCTTCTGTTTTCTCAGGGAACAACGTGCTCGTATCCAATGAGGCCAACGTTTCATATTCCTGCGAATATTTGTGCGCTAAACGAGAAAAAAATTTTTTTTTAGAATTTCTAAGAGCTCTCTCTACCGTGCTCTCCTCTGGGCACTCCAGGAGTTGGCGCTGTTGGCAAAGAAGTAACGTTGAAGAATGGGTCATCAGCTGCAACATTGCCTGTACTTTTTAGATTATTTCCGGGTTGATCAGGCCGTGGAGCGCGGGAAGAGAAGCGCAGTGAAGGGGGAACATCTCCTTCCAATTTAAGCATTTCCTGAAAAATTTTTTTCGTTAATTTTTGTAAATTTACAAAAAAAATTCCCACCGAAAATCCCCCAGGACCGCTATCATTAGATTTCTTTTCGATAATACTTCCACCACCTCCTCGTGCATCTGAACCCCTTTTTCGAACTATTTCCTTTCCTGGCTCGTCGAATTTCCAAGGAGTATTGAAGAAATCATTCACAAACAAAAACAGAAGACGTCCAGCATAAAAGAACAAATTGACCAATTCTTTAAGACCGTCGATTATGTTCATAACGATTTCTTTAAAATAAATGGGAGGAATTTTACAAGGAAATAAAGAATAAACTAACCAACTTCGACAACCATTTTGATTATTCTGAAGGCCAACAAGGATTGAATGCACGTTTAATATCTGTATGGAATATATGTATAGGAGGGATTAGTGAGTAAATTTGAGGCTTTTATATGTAGATCTGTTTAAGTAGGGCATAACGAGGTAGAGATTTCCTTTTCCAAGACTAGACCCCAAGACCAAGACCAAAATTAACAAGACTCTTTGTCGCAAAAGGTCAAAAAAATTTTAGTTGGAAAGGCGTTAAAAATATAAAAATATGTATCCCACATGGGCCCGTACAATAAAAGGGTAACGGGTTATTTAACCCTTTCCCCCCATAAATCAAAAAAGGGGAAAAAAGCTTGCGCCGAAAAAATAGGGAAGAAAGGAAAAAAGTAAAGTTGAGGGTTAAAGTTACGGGGTAAAATGACAGGTAGATTTCTTCAAAAAATCCTTAAAAATTTAAATTTAATGGAAAAATTATAAATTTAAATTTTTAGATATAAATATTGAGAAAAACAGAAATAAAAATAATGATTTTCAGTAACTAATTTCTAAAAAGAGCTAACTAACCAATACTGACCCTTTCTCATTTATTAAGTAAACAGAACAAAGAATATTCTAGAATAGGTGTGAAACTCTCCCCATTTTCCTCAATTATTCAAAGTTCCCGCCAGTTTTCTCTGTTTACTTTAAAATTCCGTGTCTAATATTCTGAGTGGTGAGCTAAGATATGTAAGATTAGTTAGTGATGATCTATTAATAGGTGTGATGGCATTGCTCGTGTAAATTCAACAGTGACTTAAATTAATTATTAAAGGGAAATCTGATTGTTAAAATTGAATCAGTTATGAAAAAAACTTGAAAGAATTTCGTCAATGTATTTAATATTTATCCGAAACACACAGTCTTTCTATTAATTCAACTTCAAGTTTGGATTTTTGTAACTTCATTTTTTGAACCTATTTATGCGTGTTCAAGCTTCATCTAATTCCTCGCGAAGCTAAATTTCTTTTTAAGCTGAATTTAAAAAGTTTATGTCAGCTCGATGAGCTTTCTCGAAATGAGCTATAATTTACCTTAGTGTACGGTAGACAAATGAGAGAAAGAGCCATTCGTTAGAGCCATTAAATGCATTCTTTCTACAGTGAAATAATTCGAGGTTAAAAATATTCACTCATGATTAAATATTCTCAATACAAGTTGACTCAAAACACCCCTATTGCACAAATTTAATAAATTAATCAAATCACAACAGAATTTATTCAACAATGTTTATAAATTACAACTAGAAATTACATATCACATACAATTAACAAAAAATATTCCATAACAGATTAAACATACATATGGATAATGTGACTATTTAGGTTATATATACAATGAGGGTACAAGCAAACTATACATATATGCAGCGGGGAAGGAATTTATCGACGGGTACGCAATTGGACATCTTGGATTCTTCGCAGGACTATAGTTCCGGCAGCTCTGTTCCTACATCTACCTTCTTGTCCCGGCCTGGTAGCTGGTGTAGCTCGACGGTTTGGAGTATTTCGGCTTCGCCGGGGCAGGCGGCGGCGGAGGAGTCGGCTTCGGAGTAGATTGCTGTAAAAACAACATAATTAGATGATTAGAAAAGCTTTAATGTGAAAAAATTAAAACTTGCCTGAGGTGGTCGAGGTGGACCGCCGCCGAAGTGATCGTCTTCATCGTCGAGCTCAACTTGGAGTTGCCCACCACCGAGTGCTCCAGTGTTCCTGACGTCCGGCGGCACGTAGGCAGACAAGTCGACGTTACGTTCTCCCATGATGCTGTTTGCTTCCTCCTGCGGATGAGTTGAAGATGAGCGTAGATACTTTGGGATCTGACGAGTTGGCCTTGCAAATCCTACGGAAAATGCATTAACTTTTATAGTATTTTAACTACGAGGTGAAAACAGTCTTTTCAAGCCATATAAAAGTCGAGAAATAATTAGCGTTATTTAAACTTCGACACGTAAACGTTCTACTGCTCAACAATTTTGTGTAAGTTTTTATTTTTATTAAAAGGTTTCGTCGGATAATTAATTTTTCTTTTAGCAATGATGCTACTTCGTGACCTGGTCGTTCATCTGATGCTTTTTGACGCCGAGTCGATGGTGCTGGTGATGTTTGTCGCAACAGCAATTTTGCTTATGGCGCAATGCTGCAAGAAGAAGAATAAAACGAAGAAAGCAGGAAAAACAAAATCGGAACCAGCGCAGGAGGCTCAACCACCTACGCCGCCTGCAGAAGAAAAGAAGCCTGCGCCTGCAGTGGAGCCTGGCAAAAAGAAAAAGGGAGCTGGTAAAAAGGAGAAAGCCAAGGGGACTAAGAGTAAAACCGAAGAGCAGCCGGCAAAGGAAGTTGTGACAGCCCAAACAGTGACGACGACTCCATCGATGCCTACAGCAACGCCTGCAGCGCCAACAACAACCGCCGCAGATCCAATGAAGACCGTGCTCTCGGAACAGACGATGCTTCAAATACAGAATATGCAGATGCTTCCTGGAATGATCCCTGTGCTTCTTCCACCGACGGTGCCTGGAGGGACTCCGACTGTTATTATGATGCCTGCTAAGGGAATGCAGTCGATGGCGGCGGTGCAATCAAAACAAGCCGTTGCTTCTGCTGTAAAAGCTCAGTCAACATCGAAAACTTCGCGTAAGAATTTTGTAGGTTTAAAATATACAATTCTAATTTTACAGAAAAAGAGCCATCGCTGTATGAGGCAATCGAGATCTCCAAGGATGACGGTGACAAAGGCGGCGGCAAGGAAAGTGTCAAGGGAAGCGTCAAGGGAAGCGTCAAAGAAAGCGCCAAAGAAAGTAGCAAAAAAAGTGAAAAGGACAGCGACGGCAGTAAGAAGTCGAAGAAAGAGGTCGATCTTACGAAGACGGGAATGGCGGGTGTGTTTTTAATTGTTTATAAGGTTAAAACAAAATTTTATTCTTTCACAGATCAGGGATCATATCAAACATTAGCGGACATAGACACGAAAGGGATATTCGATAAGAAGTAACTATTGCAACAACAGAATTGATGAACAGAGGAATGTTTGGAAAGAATAAAAATTGTTTTGTGTACCCCTAAATTGCTTTTATTTAAACATCTCTGAAATTTGTTTTCTTTGTTAGTATTCCCCTAAAATCTTGAGTTTGTCATTTAAACATCAAACTCACTGTTGTTGCTTTTGTAGTCCCGAAAAACTTGAATTTGTCTATTATCTATGTATTGTCTATAATGTTTATTGTGTATATATATGTATGAGTAAAGTTTGTTTAGTTGTTAATTAAGTGAATTTACATATACTTTTGGCAACATTACTTAAAAATAAATTTGTAATGTTCAGGGTCGGTTCTTCAAAAAATATTTTTTTCAATATTTTTTATTGAGACAAAGCGTAAAAATAGGAATTATTTTCCACAACGAATTAGTAAAAGGAGGCAATTTTCTCTCATTTTAAGCTGTTGTTGCTAATCCTCCATGGCGCAACTAGGGCATACAGTCGGGTATTGCTGAGGGGTTGACGAGATTGTAAAAATAATTGTTATTCTAAAAATACTTATTTTTCTCTCAATGAAAATTAAATTTTTTACAAAAATTTTTATTTTCCAATTTTATTTAATTATTTTGTACTCCTTTTGCTTTAAAAATTTAATTGGGCAACCATTTTTTCAATCTTCATTTTGGTTACCCCAACAGCAATGGCAACAAAATCCTTATATGTATGACTATCGTCAGTTTAAAAATTCTTAACAAATTAATTTAAAAAAATTTTATTTCAAGAATATGGAAATAAACAATTTTTGTATCCTCCTCCGATAAATAATAATGGGCCTTCATTTTCTCGTGGTGTGGAAAGCGGATTTGAAACGTTCTTTCCCAGACATCCACCTACATCTTCATTAACTTTAAATTATCCATTTAATCCTTCAACATATTCTCTACAGAGACATTTGATCCCAGGCATTTTTGCAAATTAATTCTTTTTAAACCCAAAAAATTAAAGGCCCCAATAATTATTATGGTTATGGAACGGCAAGTAATGTTTGGTCACCTCAAATAGGAGGATTTGGAAATTATCCATTTATGGCTAATTCGCCTGTAGCTAATCAATTTCTGAGAGATTCGCTGTTTGACCGTGAGAATTTTCAGGTGGAAAGGAACAAAATTGAATGTTTCAAAAACTTAATAAATTCAGAGCCGTGGCTGTGGTTGGGATCAGGCCCGTGGAATGTGCTCAGATCTTTTGGGAATTTGTAAGGGAGGTTGTAAAGACTTTAGAAGTCGGAATCAAATTTCCAACTTGCCAGATTGTCTTTGTGTTCCTTTAGGTTATAGCTTTTTGATGGGAGAAAAACAAAAGTTTAATTAATACATATGTAGTACATACTAAATTCTTCAAATCAGAACTTTTAAATTTTTTTAAATAAAAATTGTTTTTGTTTTATAATCGTCTTTTATGTTTGTCGCGCAGAGTGTCAATTTTACCTCATTTGGGAGGCATTTGTCCCCTTTTTGACCTTATCGCCTCTTTTTTCCCCTCTTCTCTACATTGCCACCTTTTTGATTTTTTCTGAACAAGCCTGTCTTCTGGCATTCCAATCTAAAAATTTTCGCCTGAGGCGCTAAAGGTGAGAAACTTTGGCTTATTAGCCTTCTAAAATTTTCAAAGTTTTCGCCTACACAGCAAATATATTAAAACTATTAAGAAATATGCAGAAAATTATTTTTAAGTTTTTAAAATAATGCCACTTTTTGCCGATTTCACCCCCTTTCTGTGATTTGGAAAGGGACACGTTGTCACGTGTTGGTGATTGTTTTTGTTTCCTGAATATTTTCCTACTTTGATCTCAAGGGAAAAATGATCTAAAAAATCTAAAAAAATCTCAAAAATCTCTTCTGGGTAATTGATCTTGTGGGTAACCCAAACGACTAGTTGTGCGTGCGTAACTGAAGTGGCTGCCTATCTTTGCTTTTCTCCTCCTCTTTTAGTGTAAGGTTCGATGCCGCTAAGGAAATTGATTTTTTGTGAGTATAAGCTTTGAGCAACAGTATAGCTATTTATTTTTCTAGATTGTTATTAAATATTTTATTTATGTCAACTCCAAAGAAATTGCGTTATAGAAGCGATAAAAGTGAAGATTCTGATGAAAATTTTGAATCTAATGAGGAAGATGATAAATTTGAGGTTATTTCTTGAAGAATATTAAATTAAAATTAAATAAACAGCCTGCGATTGCTACATCTAGCGGTCGTTTAGTTCGTCCATCATTGGGAAATGCTTCCAAAACTGGAATAAACAATGAAATTAACAATAAAGAAAGCAATGATGTTAATGTTCAGGTTCCAATGAAGCGCCTTAAAAACCATGAAAGTGATAAAGGTTTGGGAATCTTATTTTTTTAAGTAAATAATTATTTTTAAGTATGTGCGCCAGATTTTTCAAAAATTGTCCGTTATTTGACTGCTGTACAACAAACACACGATAATTCTATAAATCTGTTAAATGAGGAGGAAGTAAAGGTTTTTCTTTCAATTTTTTTAGGGAAGGATAAAACGTTTAAATCCTAGCATTGTTCAAACTAGAGACCGGTGCGGGACGGGATCCCGCGCGGGATTTTGCGGAATCCCGTCCCGCATTCCCGCACTTTTCTCGATTTGCGTGAGTGCGGGATTTATCCCGCGGGATACCGTCCTGCAAAGATCTTTTTAAAAAATCCCGCATGCGGGATCCCGCAAACATTATTTTGCCGGTCTCTAGTTCAAACATGATTTAACATTTCCCAGTATAATCTGACTTCTTACCAACTGAACTACGAGATGCCTTTTATTTTCCCATATTATTTTAATAAAGTACTAGTTGTAAGGGCAATATTTATTTCCTTTTTTTACATAATATCACTTTCCTATATCCATTAATTTAAGAATGTGCAATCTGGTAGACAAACTCTATCACAATTCTGGCAATCTAGAATGAGAACAATTTGTTCCACTTCTCAAAATAATCCAGAATTTTCTTGTTGGAAAAGAATTGAGGAGTTGAGTCCTTCTTTAACTCGATGGCTGGATACACATTCAATTGGTTTGATTATTCAAGGTTCAGTCCCCAATGGAGTTCAATCTATTGGTGAGGATGAAAGTATAGAAAAACCTGGTAAATTTGAACTTTTAAAATAATTTTTTTTCAAAATTTAAAATTAAGTTTCAATTGAACGTCAACCCTTGCCTTTTAGATTGCCTAGAAAAAGAGGAAGACCTCGAAAGGATGATTTATCAAGGACCAATAGACTTTTGGCAACTCCATTAGCTGAACCAATTGAGAGAAATTGTAAAAATTTTTAAAAATTTTTTACTCGCTTTTAAATTCTTTTTCAAGCTTTAACTGCAAATGAGCATTTACAATCTTTGGTGTCCAAACAAATAGAAGCAACTTCTTCAATTATCAATCAAATGAAAAAGAGTAAAGGACGTAGTACTAATAATTCTATGTCTTCTGCTTTAATTGATAGTAATGTTTTGATTTTTTGGTCTATTTTTTTAAATTATTTTATAAATTTTTTTAACGTTAAAATTTTTCTAATTTTTATAAGTGTCAATAAATTATTTTTTTAGCATCCATGTCACTTCCATCAACTTCATTTGATTCAACAATTCAAAAAACACCTCAAACTCAATTTAAAAACAATAATAACTCATTAAACCAAAAATCACAACAAAAGTCTAAATCAACAAAAAATTCTTTTCAAAAAACAGTAAAATTGGAGGTTATTTTTAAATTTTTTAAAATTTATTTTTCAAATTTAGGTTGAAGATTTCTCTCTTCCAACTGAATTTACTCATGGAATTACTTTTCCTGTCTCATCAAATACTCCACTTTTATCTTCCAATAATGATAGAGCAAAAAATCCTAAAGCAAAAGGAACATCAAAAAGGTTGGAATTTAAAAAATTTTTGATTTATCGAATTTTTCCATGCTAGTATATTAATAATTTACATGTATTTTTTTATAAAATAATGTTTTTTAAAGATCTCACTCATCCAAAGAAATACCCAGCACAACAACATTAGAAGAAACTTCTTCGCCAGCAACTACCGACAAACAAAATCAACCTCAAAAAATTCAAAATGGTTCAAAATCTTCACTTTTTAAGGTTTTTAAAAATATATTCTTTAAATAAATTTATTTTCTAGAGAAAAGAAGCAGGAAGATCAAATTCAAAATCAGCCACAAATGGAGGAGTTGATTTACCTGTTCCCAATGAAAAACAAATTAATATTCCTATTTTCTCTGGTCAAACATTTCCTTTTGATTATGATGTATCACCAGCTGTACGACGATTTGAAAGCGTTCAAGTAAAATAATTTTCTTTTTTTATTTTGATTGTGAGGAATGTATTATGATGTTTTCTTAAATTATTTTTCTTGATGGACTAGCTTTTTTGTAGTATATTATTGGACTAGTTTTTGTTTATTAAGGTTCAATAAAATTCCGAAAAAACCCCTCGTTATTCCTCTAGTACAAGACTTGCTGTTTGTTAATTTGGGCTTATTTATTATCTTGAATAATTATGATTTCATGATAATTTTTTATTTTATTAAAAGGTTGTCGATATTTTCAATAATTTATTACCGTCAAACCCTTCAACAGAACAAACAACTACAACATACAATTCTTTAATACCTGGCCAAAACGGTCTAGCTTCAGTCTATCAAAACAGAGTTGATCATCAAAAACTTAAACAAATAAAATCTAATCGACAATTTGTCCAAACATTATTTTGTGGTGGGCCGATTGCTGCTATTGCTGTTTGTCCGCAAACTTTGCCTGACGGTAAAAATTTATTTGGAGTTTTCTGGTTCCTTTAAAAAATAATTCGCAATATTGCCAATGATTGGATGTTTAAATAAAAAACTCCAATCTTTTGCCGAATATTGCAAAATAGAATTTTAAGTTTAATAAAACTTCTGTGACATAAGGTGCCGATTTTTGTATTTTTTTGAATTGTCGGTAAATATGTCACTACAATATTTATTTATTTAAAATAGAATTATAATCTATTTTTAGACAAGTAAGTATAAAACAAGGTCAAGAAAAAAGCTTTTCTTGGTAAACCTCAATAATAAAATTTTTACTTTTTTTTTCAACATTAACCCCTTTTGGATACCTCCTTGTTAGGATATCTCTTGCTTACTTTTAGAAAATAAATTAATTTTTTAATAATTAAATTAATTTTTATAGGCAGAGAATTGTTCGTAGTAGCAACATTTGCTGATGAAAAATATCTTGATTGTAGCCTCATTGAAGACAGCCATTCTTACCTTCAAATATGGACAACTAATGCAAAATTAGCTTTTGATACTCAAACAAAGTTTATTTTTATTGGATTTTTAAAAATTATTTTTTAATTTTTAAAGCGATTCATCTCCAAAATTGGCTTTTCTTCTTCGCATTCCTAATGCAAAACAAATTTGTTCTGTTGCATGGTGTCCAAAATTAATTAAAAATGAAATTATTTCGAATGGAAAAGAGGTCTTTAATTAAATATTTTTAAAAAAATATTATAAAAATTTGAAGATGAATTTCGAACAATCTTTGGGTCTCTTAGCTGTTGGTACATTTAATGGTCGCATTCACATTTACAGGTTATCAAAAATTTTTTTTAAATTTTATTTTAAAAATTTTTGACCTCATAAAGTAAAAATAAGGTAAAAACATTAAGACTGATCTTACTATACATAGGAGACATTGGTTTGTTTTTCTATTTTCATGCAATCCATTTCCAATGGCAAACCATGTTTCAAAAATAAATTGAGGAATGTTAAATTTTTGGGCAGTCCTATTTTAATAATTTTTTTAGTTTTCCTTCTGATTTGGATTCTCTAATAAATACCCATCAATGTTCCTCGTCTACTTCAACTGAAAACAAAACTCCGCTTATTCTCGAATCTGTCCCCCTTCTTACACTTTGTCATGCTCCTTTACGAAATATTAAAATGGAAGCGAAAGAAGAAGGAAATGTTAAAAGGAATAGTGGTTTGTTTTCTTTCATTTTCTAGTTATGTTCTTAGGTTCTGACTTTTTTAAATTCCTATTTTTTGTGGTAACCGTAAAGTTTTGTGTTGGTTAAGTGGTTTTCTCTTGTGTTTTGTTTAACTGCCAGTGATGAACCTGAACATTTTGATAGGAACTGCCGTCTTAATATGTACTTGAAGATTTAGGATCTCTGAGGCAGTTAAGATATTTTATTTTCTTTTTTTAATTTATGAGAATTTTAAAATAATTTTTTACAAATATTTCAGCAATTTCTTCATTAAAAGAAGGCCTTGATTCAATTCCTTTACTTAAAGTACAATGGTCTCCTTTTGATGGTTCTCGACATATTGCAGCAATCTCTGCTTCATGTTTATATTTTTTATTTTTTTTTAATTTAAATTTTTATTTTTTAAGGGTTTGTTTATATTTGGAGTATTTTTGGCGATTCAAATGAAGTAACGTTACCTCTTTGGACTTTTCCAATTGATGGATTGTTGTCACCTCCAATGTCCATTGGATGGTTGGAGAAAGATAAAAGTTTAAATTACTTAAATTAAATTTTTTAAATTAAAAACTTGCAGTTTGTGTCTCTTACCGAAATCGACAATTTAACGTCCACAAGCTTGAGAGTCCTAGTGAGGAAACGGTAAAAATTATTTTTTGGATAATGAAATTGCCTTCTTTAAGCCCATTAAATAATTTAATTTTTAGTCAACATATTCAACTCGTCTCGTATTAGAATGTGAATCAGCCAAAGGTTCGGGCATCTTTTGCAATACACGCCCATTAATTTTTTCTGGTGCTATAACATTTGATTCCTATTCTTTTAATTATTTGGGAACTCAACAACAGGTTATTTGTTTAAATAAATTTTGTAGAAGAAAAAAATATTATTTTAAAGGCACTTTGTTATTTATCTTTACAACAAAAAATTTCTGACAATGATGACAAGGTTATTGATTTTGTTATGGCTGCAAATCTGAGTAATTGGTAATTAATTTTAAAAAATCTTTCGAGAACTCGAAATTTTTTAGTCATCAAATTCGTATAAATTCTGCTTGTATTTGTCCAATTAGTGGAATTTGTTCATCCGTTGGAGCAGATGGAAGAATGTTTAGTTCATTAAATGGACGTTTGGCGCCTAAAAATGGTTTTATTTAAATTTAAAATTCAAAAAAAATTTATTTTTTTTTTAATTTAAAGTAACTGATATAGACAATTTTATGCATGGAAGAGCACTTCTTCAATTAATTTCACATCGAAATAATCCAATAAATTATGAAGATGATAATGCTGAAAATAAGGTTTATTTTTTTATTAAATAATTTTAAAGTATTTTTTAAACGTTTTTAGAGCACTTTTTGTTATTCACACGTTGATTGTTTGGCAGAAAAATTTTTGGAAGTTAGACTTGGGGATTGTGCTATTTTGGAACAAAAAAATGTATTTTAATTTTATTTTTTGGTTTTTATTAGTTTTTAGTATTTTTAAATGATACAACCAACTAATTTTAGTTTATTAGAGGTATTTTCCGTTT